TGCACACAGAGCGCGGCCTTCATCTACCTCCGTCGTCGCAACCTGGTCAATGAGTCAATGAAAAGCTGCTGGTCCGCTGGGCCTCAAGAAGCGCAAACGGCTCTTCTTTTCTTGCAAAGCTGGGCCGGCGCGGTATGTGAATTGATCTGTCGGGGGCATAACCGCAGCGCTCCTCCCGACAGGTTTTTTAAATGAAACCCCTGGCTAGGGCCTATCTTGGGATACGCACCGTCCATAAACAAAGCAAACCAACACGCTGACTCCCAAAGTCGAGGAGCAGCTTTCAAACTCCACCGAGTCAACCCATTTCAATCCCATGCAGGACGCTTGTCGCAGCAGCTTCGCAGAATAGCATTCCACCTTCATTCTTGGAACCGGTGGCCCAGCATCCCTGGGCGCGGTGCGTTGCCGCTGCCGGCAGAGGGCGCTGGCCCTTGTTGCTTCATAAACAGCGACAACGAAAAAATGGGTTTGCATTTTGCTTGGGGACTTTTGGGGGCGTCTCTCTTTGACAATATAGCTTCAAATGTTCATCCTCAGATCTCAATACGCGCATGCCCACAATTATACACGCAAGTACACAACCCTTTTATATGGTTGCACACATAAATACAACTCATGCACCTGCCAGGTCAGCCCAGGCCCTGCAGCTTTGCCACGAACACTTGATCACTGACTTAGATGGGGGCAGACTGAAACCTTACAAGGACCCAAGGCTGTAGCTGGACATGGTAGAAGGGAGAAACAAGCTTTGCAACAACAACAACAACAACAACAGTCGCTTGCTTTGCCTCAAAGATCCTCAGCGAAATGTTGCCTGGACTGTTAACCTGTGGGTTTTCCTTGGCCGCGAGAGCACGCGTCCAACCAGAATTCTGGCCAAAATCCGGCCATACTATGCACCTGGACCCATACGCCCTGAACCGTCTCAAGTCTTCTTGGCGCACTGATCAACCGCCATGACCTCGTCAAAATAAAACGCACAGCTTCAATGCAACACAAGGGATAGAGTCTTCTACACGTATCTGTATCCTGCTGAAAACAATTCTGACATGTCAAGTCCAGCTGTGGAGCAACGATCGGAATTTAAGCCCCTCAACTCCCGACTCGCTCTACAAACCTTTCCACGTACACCTTACTCACGGTTTTTTGCTTGGCTACGAGGGCACGAGTACAGAAGAGCCACCGACAGCAGCATCGCACCGGCAACAGCCATGGGTGGAGCAACTAGAATTGCGACTCTGAGCCGCTGGGGAAAGAGCTCTTGCGATAAACTTGCTGGCAAGAGATGATGATGCCATGGGTTTCACATCATCAAATGATAAGCACTGGCTTGAGCCAGTCATCGTGGTGGAGCAGCAAAAGCCAGGTTGTGGCAGAACAATTACATGTACGAGTAGTGAATACAAGTGGATGGAAGGGGCATTCCGTCGGTGCGGGTGGACTTCCCCGCGAAGCAGCGCGAATAGGAATCCTCTCAGATCCTGGCATGAGGCTTGGCAAATTCCTCTGCCTCCCCATTTCGCATGCAGACCTGGAAAGCCAAAAATCAGATCTGAAGGAAAAAAGAAAGAAGACTGCCCTCCTTTAGCTCCCAGCAACTGCAGCAACATCTCCCAGCGTCGCAATGACCTCATGCATAGTTGGCACGAAGCTATTCGCAACTAGAAGCTAGGTAGCTATTAGTAGCTCTATTGGTACTAAACACGCTCCTAGCTACGGGACGCAGGATGGTTCACGTTTCTTCAAGGAAGCTCCCCTGTCGCACTAATCATTTGGTTCCTAGTCAAGGTTCCGACAACACGAGCTCCGGTGACCAGTGCAACAGTGGCACAGCAGCCATCGGTGGCCCCGGGGTGCCTCGGGACCCCATTGCTAGGCATGTTCAAACCGCGTGTATTTCAGTTACATCTGCATGGTTCCAATACAAAGGCAAGCATTGCCAATCTCGTCTTGTTCATTGTCTTGCGCAGCTGCTACTTCACGCAGCTTGGAAAAACAACTTGGAGTGAAACTTGTCTATGAACTCCGCATCTAGCTCCTCGAAGCCTGAGCACTCTGCTCTTGTCTCAAGTGACTCAATCGTTCTACACTGACACTAAGAAAGTCACTTTCTCGCATTGCCACCTCAAGTCGAGTGTCCTGGTCCACAAGAATTCGATTGTTGAGAATGTACCACCGCGTCTCTCTGCTCAGTTCTCCTCCCAGAAGCCACGAAAAGCTGAGAGCTTGGGGAGCAGCTTTTGATGAAGCTGCTTCACCTTTGCGGAGACATCATCATCAAAAGCGGAGTGCGAAAATGATCTCTACAGAGTCCACTCACTAAGCCAAGGACACAAAACTCAGCACACACATTGGCAGCTCCTCCAACGTTCGCAACCGTTGCAAAATCCAGATCCATCAAAGTATACCAATCGTCCTTCAAGCCTTGATAAACTAACTCATCATCCAAATCTTTAGAAAGAGCTTCTCCGGTCCTGAGCCTGGCTTTCCTCTATGACCCTCGTAAAGCGCATAGAGTGCGCACGGCCTTCACTCTGTCTTACATGCAGACTATTATCATAGTGTTTCCCGATCAAGCAATCAGCTGCTGGCGGCAAACAATACAATGAGATTGAAGTGTATCAGAAACTCACAGCCTATCCAAGTGCTCAACGGACATGCGCATGGCCTGACTGCGAATGTGTTCAAAACTTAAAGCCCATGCACAAGCTATCCTTATACATGCCCTGGACAGCCTGCGCCGCCTTGGCCAAGTCCTTGACTAGTACATGGCGTGCTTGGAAGGCCTCGCAAGTGAGAATCCTGCCCTGGTCTCTCCTGCCCTGTGGTCTCCTGCCCTGGTCTCTCCGCGCTGGAATGTGGCCTTCTCGTGGAAGCATGAGCCAACAGCAATCCGAATGTCAAACGCTTTCCCATCATAGAGCCTTAGAACACAAGTGCTTGAGAAGACCCTTCTCTTTCTCAACTGCCTCAAAAAAGTAGCCGTCAATGTCATCTTCATTTTCTGCAACCACAATGTTTCTGTCAACTCTCTTCCTAGCCATGTTGTCCATCTGCTGCTGGGGTTGATATGCAGGAAGAATCCGGAAGACATTTACGGCCACTTAGGCTTTCACTGTATTGTCCTTGAAAGACTTGCAACAGAAAAGGAACCATTATCCTATTTTGGTCGGTCTGCTGCGGCATACACCATGTGCAATACTTTGAGGACTGTCAGGAAGAAAAGTGCTTTGCGTCCTGGCTCCTAGTAGCAAGGCCAGGAGCCCCTAGTAGCGTCCCATGGTGCGGGAGTGCGGGAGCAGAAAAAGGAACGATAAGAACAGGGGCAGGAGTGCAAAAGCAAGCCTGAATACCTTTGTGTCCGAGCCCGAGCGCATCGGGTGAGGTTCTTGCACTATCAGCACCAACTGTCATCTTGTTGTTCTTTCATCTTTTCAGCCCGCCTGCCCTCCTTCTACTTAATTAACTAGGCGCCTGCTTGATTAAGTAGTTAGCTCCCAGGTTGGACGCTCGCACTAATCGTTTGGTTCCTAGAATTTTAGGAAAAACGATATGTATATATATATATAATGGATGTCAAGGTAACTCCTAGTTGTTGTGCTGGAAATAGCTTGTGGTTCTGACGCACTCTGATGAATTGCTAATTACAAGCCATTTGCATTATAGCTGAGAGTTGCACAAGGAATATCTCTCCATGACAGCATCGTAGACATATGTCTTGCCATCTTCCCCACTCCAATAAACCTTCAAAACCAAAGGTCAAAACAATCGCTGTCACATAGCTGCATAGCCCATCTGAAATCTGTGAGGATGCCTGACGCTTGTCATTGTAATACATCGGCTTCCCTTTCTCCACCTGAACTTGCACATTTTTTTTTTGTGAACCATGCACATCCCATCTGCCTCACCTGCTTGAAGCCTTCTGGCACCTTGAGAGGCCCAGACTGTGCATTCGCCTCCCGACAATAACTAAGCCAGGAAACAAACCAAAAAATCAAATTGGTTTTGAACTGCTTTTCAAAAATAGCACACAAAACCAGTCTCACTTTCAACAGTATCCAAGGCTTGGTGCCTGCTGCTCTTGCAGTTGCGCTTTGATTTTCCACATCGGTGTACCCGAGTAGCCAGCATTCGGTTTGTCCTGTCAAGCTCTCAGAGAAGCCAGTCCCAAAAGATTGTATCTCCATATGCTGACAGCCAGACTCTGGCCTCCCAATGTCTGGCATTTCCAGCTTGGCTTCCCCTGCCGAATGCTTCTCAGTGAAGATTGTTCTTGGTGACTACTCCAGACTCTGAGTCAGTGGCGTTAATGCTATCTCATGAGCAAGTTTGGGATCAGCACCCAGCGCCTTCAGAACAGAAACAGCATATTCCTTTACCACATGGACTTTTGCAGGAACAACTTTCATGGCAAAAGTTGATCTGCACCTTTCTTGAGTATATTATATATATATATATATATGAGTTTCTTTTTAAACGTTTGGAAACAGCGACTCTTCTAAGGCTCACGGCAGACCGTAGCTCATGAGGCCGGGGGCCAGACCTCACAGCATAACCAGTAAGTATGGCTGCAAACTGAACCTTCTGCGGATGTTTGCCGTTCTTCTCTTGAAAAGGCAACAACCTGTAGTAGATTTAGATTGTCAGAGAGAAGCAAGCTAAGACTTATGAATGCAAAGGAACAAGGGCAAAAGTTTCGACTGGGGATCCAACATACCGCGACCCTAGTGCTCCTGCCAGCTAGGGTTGGATGCACATGCACGCCAACCCCAACTTGAGCCCACAAGAACAAGCAATACAGCACAAAGCTGCAAACAATGTCACAGCGAAGCATCATGTTGGCTACATCAAGGCAGGCCTTCTTTTCACCAGGGCATAGCCCGGCTTCGAGTGAAACAAAGAGCTCTCAACAAAAATACGTCAACGTCCAAGAAACAACAACAAAAATAGTGAGATTGATACAACTGCTTGCAAGTTGCTGTTGGTTCCACATTCTTAGATTGGCAAACTCGGAAACTCCCGCCCGTTTCAGGCATTGGGCTCCGCAGGCTCCGCACCTACAAAGCACTGCCCATCCACGGCCAGGGATGCTTCGGAACTTCTGCCCTTCCACCGCTTGGGATCAGACCCTCCGCAGCTTCGGCAGAGCGCTGCTTCAGAATATCCGCGGCCTTTTCCATTGGCTCCTGCCAAAGAGGTGTCTGAGGATGCTGCTCAAAAACGCAACATCATGCAGCCGCAAACAGAGTCATCCTCGTTCAGAAGCTCTGCTGGAAGAGGAATCTCACTTGCCTTATTGGGATCATGGACTCGTAGACTTCCCTGCAGAAAGTGATGAGGTTTCCTACCATATCTGGAACATTCTAAAGAAGTGAAGCTGAGGCATCAGCACTAGCCTCCTTGATGCTGGCCTGCCAGTTCTACGATGGATTGCTCTTGTGAAAGCCAATCACCTGTGTCTTGGAGGCCTTGAATTCGGAGAGGGACTCTTCCAAACCTTTGGCAGCTTCAGCCTTCAGTGTCACGAATCAAACAGAATTGGTGGAGATCTGAAACAACAGTTTTCTTTTTGTTTTGCTGCTTTCAAGAGGAGGGGGGTGAACGAAAGGTAGCAGGGAATCAGGCGTAATCCGGGAGGAGGGAAGAGAAGTGACCGAGCGTGATGAAAGAAAACTAATGCACGGTTTCAATACAGGTTGACGTGCCTTCAAAAGGAGTCACATATTTCTCAAATGCAACTTCGGATTTACATAGTAACGTGCGGCGACCCTGTAAATTGCGTGGCCGCAGGCCATGCTTGCAAACAGGACGTGCTCAAAAACACTGGTATTTACGAGGTTTCGTTGCCGTCGATCCACAGCCGCGGCAAGCTCTAAGGCCACGCTTGAAGACAGGAGGAGCTGAAAACACTGGTATTTACGGTACTTTGTAGCCGTCGATCCAGAGGCGCACCACGGTCGAGTGCTGGAAAAGCGCAGAAAACCATGTAAATACCGGCGTTTTCTGCCGGGAAGGTGCACAAAACCCTGTAAATACCATAGTTTTGTGCAATTTTGAAGCCTCCAAAAGCCTCAAAAGCCCTTTCCGACAAAATCTTTCCTGGTTTTTGGTCTTTTTTCGGTCATTTTTCTAACCGAGACGCATCAAAAACCATCGGTTTTTGCGGTGCTTTTTGCCGGACAGCCACAAAAAACACTGTAAATTCCATGATTTTTGGTCACTGCTGAGGACTGGAAGAGCTGAATAAATACCAGTGTTTTCGAACCGTTGACCCCGAGGCGCTAGGGTGGAGTTGAAGGGGGGGGGGGGGCCCCCCCCCCCCCGGCCAGCAAACGAAGATGTCGGGGACCATTTCTCGGAGAGATAGGCTGCAGCTCTGGGTTAATACATTTTTGCTAAAGCAAAAGGAAAACTCAGGTAGCGTAACCGCTACCTTTCGTGACATAGTAGAGTAGAGAACTCAGCACCAGCAGCAGCAGCAGCAATTTCCCTTTGCCCAATCTGCAAAACTAAATGAGGACTAAATGCAGCCAGCATGAGGAGCAGAAAAGAGCGGATCGGAAGAAGGTGAGGGGCAATCACAAAAGGTCATACAGGCCACTCATCTTCTGGAGAAGAATAATCCGTGCATGCTTGCTGATTGCATGCTGGCATTATGTTCACCCTCCTCAGGCCATTCAACTATTCGTCCATAACTCAGCAATGTCATACGTTCCATTGCCTTTGACATGTGGACTATGACTATGAGCCTTTACAGAGCCACATCATCATCTGAAACGGGTCAGGCAGCAACCTACTTTGGGCCAGAAATACATTATATACCTCGGACAAGTCTTGAAAACCAACAACGGTCAGAAAGAAAAGCCTGTGAAGGAGAAGATTGAGGCTCCTGCTGCTTCCCCCTCAGCTGTTGTAGCAGCTTCTTTGGCTTGCTCATAGCTTTCACTGCCTTCTTCTGCAGCTGCGGCCTGGGCCCATAGCACAACTTGCAACAAACGTTGATGGCCTTTCTCAGCTATTGAACCATCCCCCACAGACCTTTAAAATTGTTGGATGCTGCCGAAAGCTTTCAAAACAATTACTTTAAGGGACCTGGAGAAGAACACGTTATGGTTCACAGCATGAACAAACGTCCACCATGGCCTTGAAGCTGCTGCCAAGAGGCCGTTGCTGCAGCGTTTGTTGCTGCCTCTGCCTTGGCCTCCATGTTGGTGAGGGCTTCTTTGAAGGCAACAGCTGCATCTAAAACTCTCAACCTGAAACCAGCGTTGGCATTGAGCAACAAAAGACCAGAATTCGCAAAGGACAAGCAGGGATAGAACAAGAGAAGGGGAGAAAAAACAGAAAAGACATGCATGCACATGCACCACAAACACACAAAGAAACAACAGTGGCAACAAAGGCAGCCACTTCCGTACAGCGTTCTCCACCAACGTCAGGTCATAGTTCTGATGCAAGGAGCATCGCTCTGGACTTTTTCTGAACTGGCACTGTCCTTGTCTCGATTGAGGCTCTGGCTCGGGAGCCTGCTGCTTCTGCGTCTGATAGCGCCACCTGAAGGCTTGGATTTCGACAGGACTATGATGCCTGCAACCATGACTTGGTCTGTACAGCGGGCATTGTTAGACAAATATGTGCTTCTCAGTCTTGCAGATCTTGCAGCTTCTCTCTGCAAGCTTTGAGGCCCAAAAATGCCAAGCTGCTCTTAAAGGCTCAGGATCTGTGCCTTGGACTGTTCACTTCAGAAGGCACTCGTCACGACAAAGCTTTCACATGATCAATCAATGACTGAGCTCGATCAATGCTTTGGAAATTCTCAACTGAGCTTCCCACGCTTTACATCAAGGACACCAACCTTTAAAATGGCGCACTTCTCCATGCCTCAACGAAGCGGATTTGTCTGCGGCGAGTCTATATAATTGCAACAACACTTGAGTGTCCTACGAGAATGAAGAGCACCCCTCAATTCGCGTCTTGCAGGTGCAAAGGAAGTTCCTTCAACTCCACCGGGCCTGGGTAGTCAAGGTATCTGGCTTCATCTGTTAATGTTTAGTTCTGAGACTCTGACAAGGCTGTGCGTTCTTCACGCCACTGTCTGAGTTCCTGCAGTGTATATCGTTCACTCTTCAAATCTTCCTTCAAACTCTCGTAGTCTTCGTTTGTTTCCTTTCACTTTTGTTGACGTTTCGCTCAGTCCTGTATCTGATTGGCGTTTCGCTCTTTTGCCGCCTTGACTTTTGCACCAGACACAGCTAAAAACATGACCATTGAAGAAGGAAGAGGATGGTGGAGACTGCACCGCTGCAATCAACGACTTTGTCAGGAAACAAAATACAGGAAGTAACGAAAAATTGCAACTTGCGACGGAAACCCAGGAAGAGTTTGAGTCACTCACAAATATTGAGTTGACAGGAAGTATTGAGCTGCCAACTTCCAAACTTTCCTTTGCAGCTTGCCACCTGCCAGGCAAACTGGACAAAGCCTTGTAAGTTCATCCCTAGCCTACACTGCCATGCTGGCCTCGCCTCGTGGTTGAGATTTCAATCTCCTGTTCCCGAGCCTGGCGCTCACCTTCTGTTCCCATGGCCTTTACCGCAACTGCAACCTGTGAACAAATGACCATTCAAAGCCACGTGATGAAAGTACATGAAAGTATTGACAAATCTGGTGTCAAATTGAGTTACGTCGTCAAAGTTCTGCAGTTTCTCCACCTCTGTATCCTCTGCACGAATCTCATCCGCAGCAGTTCCTTTGCCAACCGGTGGAGGTGATGGAAAACACCAAACCAAGGCACATTGGCAAAATACACCTAATAGGAATGGCCTCCAACCTATATAATAGGAATAGCATCTCGCCTAATAGCGATGGCCTCCAACCTAATAGCGAAGCACTGAAAGCACATTGGCAAAATGAGTCTCCAGCCATCAGTATCTTCCGAAGGCCTCCATTCAGGCCTGTCAACTTCCGATGCTAAGGTGATTTGGTTGTGCTATGGCAATGGCCTATCTGGAGCCACAGTATATGGATCCTGCGGCAAAGGCTTGTTTGGCAAAAAGCTTGCCAAAAAGAATGAGAGCCTCTTGGATCAGCAAAGCCGGAGTATCTACATGGCAGCTCCTGCAGTGCAGAGATTTGAGCACTTGAATTTAAAGTACAGTATCATCGAGCAAAACATATCCGAGTCAGAGACAAGAACTGCGCAATGCTGGTATTTGGATGCTTCACCTTCGCGAAGCGCCACATGCTCGCTCAGCAAGGCGCTTGCCATTCACCTAGACCAAGTCCCACAGGAACCTTGCCTTCTTGGTGCGCTCCAACGCAGCTACGAGCTGCTTTTTCTCCTGAGAGAACAAATATCATGCTGAAGGTCTGTATCCAAGAAAGGTAAGTACTCTTTGTAGTCATATCCTCATCATCTACATCCCTTCGAAAGTCCTCGCTTTCTTCTTCTTCGGCAGCCTGTGGAAGGGTCATCATGACCAAAGTTTCTTTTCTCAACAAACTCATGGGTTCACCCTCTCCTCCCTCTCCCTCCTTCCTTCGGTCGGTGGTCTGTCTGGTCTGTCCATCCCTCTCTTCCTCCAGTCTTGTCAGTGCTCTCGGGTGCTGTGGATGTCACATTGCATTTGGCTGCATGCAAGTGAACTTGCAATACTGGCAGTGCTTGGTGGCTTAGTACCCATCGCACTTTCTGCTAGACTTGGCAGTCTAGCCCAGGTTAGTACACATTAATTAGTCAGCATTGGGTGCGGCATCACCCTCTGACCTTGTGGATATCCAAGCACCCCATCAAAGCCTGCTAGAAGTTACTGTTTGCTTGATTTGCATATATAATTTGCCGAAGCCACCTCGGCATCCTGCCCTCTGGAGCGGGCTGCAACCCAACTTTCTCGCCTCAACGGCTGAACCAGCCGCAGAAGCTACAAGGCATCCAATGTTGAAGGTTCCGCATCGGTGCATGGTGGACATGTTCCAGATTAAGGATAGAGATAACAGTGTCACCAGCTCACAATTCACTTGTTCGTACCGGCACTGCTCTAGTGGTGGGGTACTCAATCGCTGGAGATGTGTCGAAGTGGGTCTATGTGTGCCGAAGAAAGCTAGATGTTGCGAAGAAAGCTAAAGAAAAAACGTCTGTCCCAGGCGCAAATCCATTTCAATAATATATCTAAATATGTTACTGTATAATCGAACGGCAGGTCCCATCGCAAACAGAATGCATGAATGGATGGATGAACGGATGAAGGGATGAACGGATGAATGGATGAATGAATAAAGGAATAAATTGGAATGAAATGAAATGGAATGAAAAGGAATGCAATGGAATGAAATGGAATTGGAATGGAATTGGATGGAATTGAAATGGAATGGAATGGAATGGAATGAAATGAATGAAACATAAGAATGTGGTAAGCAAATTGCTGTGTTCACCGCTCGTGGTTTTAACGGTGTGCTCGGTCCATGTGTGCACCTTGTGCATCTGGCCCTTGAGACCGATTTCTGTGTCTTTGTTTCTGGGCGGAAGACAGCCTGGACAGCCAAGCACGCAATGGAGTTTATGGGACCAGGGTAACTGGGCCACCTACAAAGACCCCATAGGCCCCATCCATGAAAATGCACCCAGCAGGCTCCGCTTGTGTTTCGACAGGTCAATGTGCGCCGCAGACTTCTAGTCGCCGCCGGCTCTTGCATCTCTTTTGCCAGCTTCTCTCCAATGTACTTCTTCTTTTTGGGATGCCGGAGGTTTGACCAAGACGTGCGTCAATTGCGTCCAGCCGAGTCCTCCGACGCTGCAGCCGCTGTCTCACTTCGTGGCGGTGCATCACCCTCCTGGAGAAGAAGCTATTCACATCCAGATAACAAACATAAATTAACTGTTGAGTTGTCTAGCTATGTCTAGCTTGGGCTCTCCAAAGTAATTGTTGATGTGTAGCTATGACTGAGTTGATGCATGGGAGCCAAACAACCTTGGAAAGCAAAATATAAACAATAATTGTATCAGCTTTCTTTTGTCATGATTAGCTCTGAAGGTGATTGTTCTAGAAATATCTTGCTCCCATTCGTCAAGGCAAGAAAAGCCTTCCTGCAGATTGAGGGATCATATTTGTATCAACAGAAGCTACTCCAAGCAAGGTGCATCGCTCCAGAAGCTACTAGCAACAAGAAGCTCACCTTCAACACATAAAACAAGGCCCAAATGCCACTGTTCTCCAAGCTCTGCAGGTCTCCTGAGGAGTCTCCGCCCATGATCTCCGAACCAGCTCCTGCGAGATAGATCGAGGAGAAATTGTTCGTGTATGGCAGACATATTGAAGTCTTTTTGGGGGGAGCTACTTGCATACCTGAAGATGGTAAGTGGCAAAGTGCTCCGTATGGATGCTCCTCGAGGTCTTGCTCCATCGCATCAGACCCAACCTGCAGAGTCCGTGTGGTAGAATCATGGTGGAAGTAAAGGCTTGGAAAAGTCAAAGCCCTTCAAAGCATGTTGAGCGGACCTCCAACGCACCGGAACCAAAGCTCTCCAACAGCCACGTTCCGCCTTCGAAGGACATCTTCACTGCCAAGTGAACAGATTGTCAAAACTCAAAACTTTAAAAAGACTATAGATGTCCGGTGCCCGCCGTCAAGACCAGCGGGCCCTCTGAATTCATCCAAGTGGACATAGAGAAGGTAAGTCCTCAGTAGAGGACTTGCTAGGACTTGCTGAGACTCCTCTGTGCGACACAAGTGACAGTAATGTGGGAAGCAGGGTAATCAGCTTCTCGCGCTGCTTCAGCAAGAAGAACATGTGGAAATGAGATGATCTGGCAATGATACGGCTAAAGAGATTGCGGGATCCTGTGTGAGCGCATAATGAAAACACATCCTTGCCTCCAGCCCACTTGTTTCTGCAACTTTCTTGCACTGCGAAAGCCAGTTCCTGACATAGAAGAACGTCATCTGATAGTAAGCAACAGTGCCACCTTTTGTAAAAAGGTAGGTGTTTGTTCCATTCGTGAACAACGGTTGGCTCAAGGCTCAAGGGTTCCAGAGAGTGAGGAGAACTGTCCTCAAAACTTGGTGCCCAGGTTCCTGTGTCCATTGGAGGGGGCTACGGGAGAAGATTTCAGGGTCCAGGTGAAAAGTTGCACGCAGGTTCTGGTTCCAGTTCCAGGTCGCTATTAGATTGGAGGCCATCGCCAATAGATGCACGCTTCTAGGTTGGAGGCCATCACTACCTCGTTCCAGAGTGGATTCCGCTTCAGGATTCCAAGGTCCAAGGTTCCACGTGGAAAGTTGAGATGTAAGAACCCATAGCCTATAGCTTCCAACTATGTGAGGAAAAAGCTACACGTCGACGGTGGCAAAGTTTTGTAGGTTGGCGACATGCATAGAAAGAAGCCCATAAAATAGTGTATATATATACATATATACATTATATAACAGTGATCTTTGGGCATATGACGCGCGCTCCACATTGCAGCGTTGCAGTCCTTCGTCCACTGTAGTCACGAGGATTTATTGGTGCTCCTCGTACTAGTGGTTCCAAGGCTGCTCCTTCTGGAGGTGGAGGTCTCCTTGTCAGCAACTTGGGAGCTCAGCGTGCATGCTTGCTATTCCACATTGAGCTTGGGCTAAAACATTTCGTCGGTAGGAGGCATTTGTGCAACCAGGGTTGCTCGGAGGAAAGCCTGAAAATGCAAAGGCTTCAATGATGCATGTAAGACTGTGTGGCCAAGGAGGGCCCAAGCTGCCTGCGGCAAACCTTCGACTGTCACCCGCAGGGTGCTCGTGACATCACCTGGATCCACCACTCTGCTCTAATGGGTGGAAACTTGCACTTTTTTAAAGGCCGCTCTGCCGTCCAACCTCCAACCTACTAGCGATGGCCTCCAACCGAAGAATAGCGATTACACTACACAGCTCTACACCGCTCTGTGCAGGCTAATGCTACAGCCTTGTCATCGAGACTTGGCTTTGTCTAAGCAAGGTGCCTGTTTCAGGAGGTACTGTGATCCGCTCACAAAGCACCAACCCTTTGTCCTTTGCGACAGCAAAATGGCTGGATTCAACGGCCTACTGCAAAGGCAACGTTACTGTCACCGAACACAACACTTTGGAACCTTTTTGGAAGTGTCAGTTCCACACCTTTCTGAGCCTCACGCATTCTCAGCACATTCACCTTGCCATCGCAGCACATGGTCAACGGTGAGCATCTGCAGCTGAAGAGGCGCCTTAGAATCAGGAGAACAAATCATATAAGAGAAAAGGACTAAGCTGTTTTGACACACAGCCCACCAGCGCAAATCGTTGTGAAAATGGCCTCTTCCTGTGTTGTGTCCTCTGTCTCCTTATCACCTGCATCAGATCTCCTATTCAATTGAGCTCTATTCTGAAATTCCAGCTTCCAGAAACTGCTTTGTCACTCGACCACTCGACACCACTTCCAAAAAGGTCCACCGCCTAGATCGAAATCAATCTCCAGGGGAGTGCTGACAGGAGGGACAAACAACCTCTCCGCGCGAGTTTGCAGATCAATACTGGTCTCTCTTTCCAGATTGGTTTTGGATCGAATTTATCAACTCTGGAGTAGGACTGAGGAAATCACTGAATCGAGAGTTCGCCCGTAGACTTTGGAAGCACCTCTGAAGAAGCAAGACTGTTGTTCACGGAAGAAGCTCAATACTCAAGACCGCAAAAACCCAGTGAAAGTTGCATCCATTTGGCACAAACAATCTATTTTGGCAATACTAATAGCAAGGATGCTTTTAGGTGGAGGCCATCGCAAATAGGTTGGAGGCCATCGCTGCTAGGAGCAAGAAGCTACTAGTAGCAAGGACGCTATTGTCCACCGGGTCTCTTGATGTAATGCCTCTGCTGTCACTCACCAGGGCTCTTCAGTCTTTGTCTTGTCTCTTTAGCACGGTGACATGGGAGCCGATGCAAGGAAACACGTGCGATGATAGTCATATATTCTTGTTGCAGTTACACGTTCCTTTCCATGTAAACCAATATCGGATGATATCGAATCAAAATGATGTTGGCCGACATTTTCGCGGACCGGAATGGAGTATTTGGCCCCCTAGAGACACCCTTTTCTGGTGTCCTCACACACCGCCTCTTGTTTCTTTCTGGTTTTGCTCCCCCTGTGCCTTTGTCTTAAGGGCATCCCTGCATCCTGTTTTGGGTGGCTTCTCCATTTCCCAACCACGGGGCCAACCGTTCTTTTTGAGTTGTTTTTGACCATTTTTAGGCCACCAGCAGCAGCAGCAGCAGAGGCACTGGGAATGAGTTACGGGAGGAAACAGGTTCGAGCTGCTACCGATTCCAGCCTCTGGGGGAAGATTTGCTTCAAGCATCAGCACATACCTGCAAGAAAGTTGTTTCTGAAGCAAGTGCTATGCATACCATTTGGCTCAGCTTTGCACTTTGCTGCTCCATTGGCCTCCAGCCGTAGCAAGATCTTTCATGTTTAACAAGTACGAACAGGTGCAGAACGCAATGCCTTGTCCGCCAGTGGCAATGACCTGTTCGGCCACCCATGGCAACTGGTTGAGGGTGCAACCGAGTTCCACTCTGGAGGAAACGTGGCTCTGCTTGTTCAGCCCGGAACATGATGCGTAGCAGTGGAGACTTCATCAATGTCGATATGGACCTGTGAAAAGGAATGTGCAAAAACCGGCAAGTCTGACGCCCTCACGAAAGGGACTGGGTTCTAGGTGCATCTGGGATTGAAACCAGTTGGCGCACCGCACTTCTTCCTCATCTGACAAGTCCTGACAGCAAACTGCAGTAGTGACAAGCACGTCGCCAGAAATCCCTCTCATTCCCTTGGAAGCTGAGGTCAATTCCAGCTGAGACACCCTCAAACAGGACCTTGGGGCAGATGGACTGGAACTTTGTGCGCAAAGTGCGAGAAGATTCTCGGTGTCCAGACAACTGAATGTAAGGCCACAGAGCTATATCTGTGACATGGCAGAGTAGCTGCAAAGACTGCAAGCCTTCCTGACGAAGGAGAGCATTGAGAACTCCCATCGTCGTGTCTTCTAGTCACACTTCTCATGTCACCTCCGCCACTTGGATTTCAGCTTTGGCCCAGACCTCCGCCAAACATACCCAGAATGTCACATTTGAAATAGCTCAAACATGACGAGTTCTCGAGGAACAGGCAACCTCCAAATCCACACAGCACTTCTAGATTGGTCAGCTTCTGGCGTTGTAACCGGTGTGCACCGGATTTTGTATGGGGCCCACCTGGGGTGTGGCAGTTTGAGACTAAAAGCCCTGGTGGCAGTGCGGCAATGCAATTTGCGAATCACTTTGGCACGCACAATGTGAAGTGTCTTTGTTCGATGTACAGACAGTTTCCAAGGAGCCAACAGACAGCATTGAAGTCCGATACTTGGCTAATGCCTTCTCGGGCTCCAAGAACTCTACTGCTGACCTTGTAGGCTGCAAGAAGTCAAACCCATTGCAAAAAGATTGAAAAAGACTCATAAACTAATTCTCATACTAAGGATTTGAAAAGTCTTCTTTTGGGACAATGTAAAGGAAGGCACGTACAACCAGCAAAGACTCTGGCTTGGATGAATTCAGTAGCAAACTTTCGACCTCAGAGAGGATACGCAGATTCTGGACATTGAAAGCTCGGATAGCTTCATAAGACTCTCTAAGAAGCTCACATTTATTGACAGCACTGAGCCAGCTCGTTCAGCAGCATCATCATGGACCAAATACCAATGCTCGCCTGTCATAATGTAGAATTGGCATCTTCTCGCACAGCAGTCGAAGAGCGAAGAATTATCAGAATGTCTAGAATCGGCCCTGGTCATGAAGAGTGATGTTCATTGAAGTGTTTAACAAAGCTTGATTGTAGATAAGTTGGAACACCACAGCCAACATGGTAGCCAGAATTGGTATTGTTGTTTTCGGTACAACAGAGCGGCAATCGTGATTGACACTGTTCTGGGAATTGGTTTTCAAAGAATTCCCTTATTCGCCTGGGGGCAGCAACATGGACTGGAAAACAGAGCCAGAGGGGGGGTGTTCCCTCGCCCACCTCGTTCAAGCAACACTGTGCAAGCACATCCTAGAACTGAATCGTTCCTCCGTTAGATGCTCAAACGGTTCAACTAAGGACCCGTCTGTCAAGTTGATGTACCCAGGCGGCTCCAACTGTGCCCGTGAGCATTCATGCAAATCATGTGCAAATATGTGGCAACATATTTTGTCTTGGCCTGATGTCTGTGTTTTGCTACAAATGAGCCCTGCCTGCGCACTGCGCGAACGGCTGGGTGGACGCCACCCGTTGATAGCCTTCAGGCATTGGCAGCAAAGAGAACTGGAGGTTAGACCAAACCAACTCAAAGACCGGCTCTGCCTGTAAAACACAGCTGCAGGGAGTTGGAGGTGGAGGAGACTGGACCGCACAAGTCAAGTGCAACTACATGCATGGAGACCATGCAAAGTCTGGAATGCTCCAAGCCCAGAAACTCTGGAGGATGCTGATTAAGTGATGCACACACACAAAGGCATCTATCAAATGTCAATTCTCAGAGAGCTGTGAAGTCAGCTCTGCCTCATCCAATCTATAGTTCTGTCTCAAAGGCTCGTAGAAGAAGACCGTTTGGAACCTGCAATTCAGATTCGCTTTGCAACAGCTCGAAAGGGAAAACACCCTAAGGCCACTCGACACTGTCGAGGCCGCTGTGAGGTCGCGACAGTGGAGGTCCTGGACTTGGCTTGGCATCGGTGGATTCTCTGGAGATCCTCGCTACTCGCTGGCTGCAAGAAACGCTTTTAGGTGTCCGAAGTCTTAGACGTCACTACCACCAGTCACTGGCTGCTACGAACTGCTACGAACTGCTACGAACTGATTAAAAGAAAAGAAACAAAAAGGTAATGGTAAGGGCCGCTTTAATAAGGGCGCCTATTAAAGAGGCCCTTACCTTTGTTTTGCTCGTCTGACGCTGTGCGCTTCTCAAAGTATCCCTGCTCTCTTGGCCTTGGTGGACTCTGATCCATCTCTGAAAGTGCCAAGCGGATCCGAAGCAACTTGGTCTTCGGAGGAATGTAGGCCTGGAACAGCCAAGGGATAAAGCATGATAAAGCATGATAAAAGCAGGCAGACATCGGACACAGGTCGCTTTTCCGAGTGCCTCTGTATGCTCTCCACCCCAGCATGTATCTAGAGTTGCAGACAACACGTGATCTCCGGGAGGAATGTAGCCTGAAGGTCATTCAAAGCTTGTTCATTCCGCTCCACATGTTGCTGTTATCCCTAATCCCCAACAGTCCCAGCCAAAGCACTACAAAGGTGCGATGCGGAGGTTTCGATCTCCTCGAAGCTCACCCAGCTCCCCCCTTGAAGCCTTGCCAAGTTCTAGTCCAAAGCGACGGTCTGAACAGTCACTGACAAACTACTTCTCTGGACACATTGTGGCCAATTGTGGCCTTATCTATGCAAGTGAAACTTTCAGAAACACTCCGTGGTAGGACCCGCGCTGAGCTTGAAATTCCTGAATGGAGCTTTTCCTCGCCACTGCAAAGGCAAGAAAAAGGGAATTGATGAGATCTGGTGAGATCAATTAGGATTTCGACATCATCAGCGGAGCTGGATTCTTATCAGGCCACGGTGGCACCCACGGCCTAAGCAATGCTGCACTTGTGCATCTTGCTGCCTTGCCCTAGGTCTGGGGCTCTGGGCACAGAGTCTTCAACGGGTTCTTCCTCTTCTTCTGGAACCGCCTCTACTTCTTGTCCTCATCAAGAAACCAAATCAAAGCGACTTTGAAAATGACCTTGAATTTATCAACAGGACTTTGCATCAGCTGGCCTTCACCGTTGACGGATTCACCCTGCATGGATTGATGCTAGGGTGAACCAACAGCCACAAGATCTCATAATTGAAGACACTCGCTGGCACTGGCCTGATCCGTCCTTTTTTCAGCGCCCTCTGCATCACCAGAATGAGTATTTTGGGAGCGGCCATCATCATCCTTTGAACATCTGGATCTTTGCTTGGCAACTATGCACAATTCCACCCTGGGATAGCTCCTCATCGAGATCATCATGGTCAGAGTCATCGACCTGCACCGCCAAAGTCTTACAATCTCACTCTTGCCAAAAAACTCAAAGAGGTTCAGATCCTTTCAGTCTTCTAAAAGGGAGCCCGTCAGGCCTCATCGACTCGTGCTGGTTGTTCCTGCAAAACGCTGCAGAGCGTTGGCTATCTGGTCAGGTGTATTGGATTTGCATCTGAGTCAGTAGCATTTGCGCCAGCATCTGCTGAGGCATCTTCTTCCTGTTTCAGCTTCTCAGACAAGCAGCTCAAAGCATGTCGTCTGACAGTAAACAGTCCTCACTGTCTGCATCGCGAACTTGCTTTCGCGGGGTGCCTGAACTTGAATCCAAAAAAAACAAAAGTCAAGACAAAAGACTAGGATGAACTGGCATAGTGGGCCAGTCACCTCCTCCTCTGACTGAGGTTATGGCCGTGCTGAGGTAAAAAAGTATCAGCCTTGAGCCGAACCTCGACATGCAAAGTTTCCAAAACACTCGCCTTTAGGCGTGCCCCTTGCAGGCCTGTCGCGGTTCCTCCTCGGTTTCACAAATGAGGAACTCGAGAACGGCCTGGTCAGATCTTGCAGCAAAAAAGGCTTGTTTGCCCTTCTGCAACTCAAGCAGGCTCACCTCCAGTGGCTGGCTACCGAGTTTGAGATTCTGCTCTGGCACTCCTTCAAGGTTCTTTTGCTCCAAAAATGCATCAAGACTGCATTTGGTTCTCTTCGGGTTGTCCAAAAGACCAACTGCCTCAGCCCTTTTGTCTGGCCTGTCCTTGCACAGTGAGTGGCGGTATGGCCTGCTGTGCATCGAAGCAGCAACAGCTTCAAAGGTAGAGAGTCTCTCTGCGCCCACCTGATTCGTGGCCAAAGATTTCCTGGGGGCCTGAAGAAGCAGAGGCATTGCCAGAGATAGACCACTGACCACCAAGAATGACAAGTTGAGTCACCCAGTCTTGCCTCGGCCGGGATGCTGGGAATCAGCTCTGCACGCTGCCTTGCTTCAAAGTCAACCTCCAAAGCAAAGGCTCTCAGCAAACTCTTTCAGGAAAACATTTGACAATAAAACCATAGAATCGTGGCAGTCTCAGAAAGTCAAAAGAGTTCGTGGATTTGGACATCGCACAGCTTTTGTCGTGGCCACTCCTGCGAGCTGAATCGCAAGCTGCAGAACGTTCGGACTGACTTCAGCCCTCCAAGGCCATGCCAGGAAAGGGGCCTGGCCAATCAACAGACACCAAAATGGCTGTGGGACAAAACCAGGAGACCTTGGTTGCCATGGTGGACTGGGCTCCAAGTTTTGACCCATCCTATATATATACTCGAATCAAAACACCAAAGGTGCTGTACTTGAAGCAAGCCAAGCAAGCCAAATCTTGGTCATTATGCATTCAATGTATAGTGACTTTGCTTGCCTCACAAAAGTACAAAATAATTATGTTATAACAATCCGTACAAAGTACAAACCCATGCAAAAAGTATTTGAGATCTGTAGCAAAAATGCTTCAGACAGGCCAGATCTACAGCTGGTACGGCGTCCAGCCGGTCAAGGCTGATATGCAAGGCCTGAGGCATTTCAAGACTCTTGTTGCGCAACTCCGCTTGCGTCAAACTTGTGTGTGTGTGTATGTGTGTTTTCTTTTACTTGACTGTTCGCACTCCAACAACATCGAGAAATAACCTCAAAATGCTGGGCCCTGGCAGGAGCGGCAAGCTCAGATCGTCTTGAAAAGCTTGTATCCTTAGCTTCTAATGGCAACAGCACCTGCATTTGTTTTGCCCTGCTCAGAGTGTCTGGCAAGGCTTTGGCAAGTAATTGCGGCCAAATGATGTTGTTGTCGTTGCTGGTCGGCAACAATGGGGCCTTCAAATATTGAACACGACCCACAGAGCTGGTCCAGCACGAAATATCATCTACATAATTTGGATTAATTTGACATTTGCAGCAAAGGAGGAGTTAGCCACATGAGCTACTCAGTGCTACAGCAACAAACGGCATGAATGGGGGCTTGACATACATGTTGTTCCCATGCATGGCATAGCCGATCGGAACCACGTCATCAATAACCACCTCGCATGGAGCAATCATAGAAGGATCTGGCAAAGTGTCAATGGGGCTGCCAAGCCTTTCTCCACTTGCCCTGCACAAACAACTTGACAATGTACTTTCCATGAGGGTTGAACAGCCTGGCAGAGGACAAAGTGAAAGCACTCACTTGAGCAATTTGCTTCGTATGGTAGAAGAGGTCTCAATAAAACCAATGGAAGGCTTGCGGAATTCCTTCTTCATCCTGGGGGTAAATGAGCTCCTGCGGCTTGATACTCTGACCACTCTTGAGGCACTCTTTCAATGAAAGTTCTTTCAAAGTCTGCCCCAGTCCCAGAGAAAGGTGCCCCTCGGCAGGAGTAGTCGATGCTCGGCCACAGCAGCAAATTGAGAAGCAATTGCTTGACTCAGCTGGGGCCTCGAAAGCTGGATGCAGCAAGCTATCTATCGCATCTATCGCACCTATTGGACATGAGACCCGGACGTTGCATCATCAAGATCAAGCAAAAGCTCTCGAGATCGAAATTCCGCTTGGCTTACTACCCGTGCCTCCCAAGCGCACCGTGTGAAAACAGGCAAAGCTCTTTGGAAATTCAGACCTCGCCCTCATATGTGCACTCAGCATACTGCCTCGAATGTAGTTTGCAAGATAGCTTGTGAAAACTGCTTGTAACGGAATCCAATTGACAGGTTTGACAGAGCTCCAA